AACAGGATGGCATTTTATCACAGCAGAATTTAACTTTATCTCCGGTAGAATTCTGATCAGGCATTAGCTCCGCCTCCTTTTTTTATTTTTAAAGCTAAGGACCCAAAATCCGCGTTTCTCTAACAGCTGGAATAGAGGGATGTCTATAATGCATAACCTGTTTGTATTTTGAGCAAAACACATCAAAGACATGTTTTTATATATTTTTGTATATCTGAGACCCATAATATATGCCTTAAAGTAGCATGATAGGAGCACTTTAAATGTATTTTATAGTTTTATATGCAACATCGCTTATTTAAATTGGTATTTTATTATAATTAGTATTTATTTATTATATTATAATTATTATTTGTATTAGTGTTATTTTATTTGTTTTATAGGTTTTAATATTTTTTTGTATATTTATTCATTTTGTCTTATGACTTCTTTTATTTTACAGACATGGATCATTTTTTATTTTATTGAATTGTCTTTAAATTATCACACCTTTTTTACTTCCTTTTGTCCCTTTTTTAATTGTTATATTATATTGTGCAAAAAGTCTTAATGCTTGATTGTAAGTACATCTCTTGTTTTTTGTTTTAATTTGTGCCTTGTTGTTAAAGCACTTTGAGCTGCACCTTGTATATGAAAAGTGCTATACAATCAAAGCTTTATTACTATTTGTATTATCTACTTACCAACGGGCTCACTTGTAAAGCTGTATGCAGCGCTTGTCATCGTGGGCAGTGGAGGCGGTACTGCTTTAGATTTCTGGTCGTTCTGGTCATTCTGTATCTCATTATTCATGCGGTTGATGGTGTGCTGGTTGAATTTCCGAGGATCGTAGGGTCTGTATCCTCCAGGAGACAGTTCAGGCATCTGTACGGGAGGCTGAGGCATCACAGGGGGTTGTGGGTAGACGGGGCGTATCCGTTCCTGCACCACACCGTACGAGTGTCCCCCCCGCTGACAATGCTTCTCCAGGTGCAGCAGGAGGGCGCTCTGGTTGTTTGCGAGGGCCGACAGACGCTGGTACTTGTGCTCCAGGTCGCTGTAGCGTAAGCCGAGCGTTCCCATCTGGTTCGTGTGGTTGAGCACTCGGGTCTCCAGCTGCGACGCCTCCAGAGCGTTGTCTCGTTTGCGGATGATCTCGTGCAGTAGCTGCATGTAGAGCTGCGTCACTCTGGAGTTCATGTTGCGGCTCTCCTTGCGCAGGAGCTTGACTTCATTCACCACCCCCCCGTCGACTTGTATCAGCTGCTGCAGAGCTTCGATCTGCCGGCGCTGCTTCTGAAGCTCGGTGTTCAGCAGCTCCAGCTCCTGCTTGTTGACCCGGTTCCCCAGCATTTCCTCGGGCTCCCTGGAGTTCACACAGATGGCCCCGGTGCTTTTCTGCTCGGGGACAATAAACGTGTAGGAACATTTCTCCGTTTGGGAGCGGCTGTGGTCCATGACGGCTCGTTTTTGCCGATTTGGGGCGAAGATGAACTCTCTCTCCAGGATCTCATCACTGTTCTCGATTTCCTGAGTGCCTTCTTGGAGAGAGGACTGGGGTCCGGAGAGCAACAGGAGCCCCAGCAACACCCCCACAGGGAGAATCATAGCACAGTCCTGCTGCACGAGCCAAGATGATTCCTGGAACAGAGTGGGATGAGATGATCAGTCAGTCTCTTCTCTCACTGCATTAGCTAAAGAAAAACGTTCACATCAGGCGGAAATCCACTGTTATATTCAACATGTTTACATTATCAGAGTCAGTCAAAGTTATTGTCAATCTTTCAGTTTGTGTGTACAGACAGAGAGATCGAAATATCCACAATCCCGAATATAAAAACAAATATATATAAAAATATGTATGTTTGAATTCACATCAAACAGTCAATATTTTGGTGATGAATAGAAAAGCATTACAAATCATTCTGCTGCTTTCGGGTATTGAAGTTTGATCAGACCTTTGATATATAGAAAAATGTTTTGCATATAATAACAAATATGTAAGACCCTTTATGTCATTGCAGATTCACCATTGACACCTTTTTGAAACGCCTAAATCCCATATATTTTATCGTCAAAGAATGTCTCAGGGGCTTAATTATTTTTTATATTTTAAATGGTGTCAGACTTTTGAATTGACCCTAGATTGTAGTGAGGCTACTTTGTAACTGATTTCAATCAATGTAAGGGAAAAAAATCAGCTCTGTAGGATGTACAGGGAATTATTTAAGATTTTCTTAGTGTGAAATGTACAGAAATTAAGATATTTTTGTAATTAGTGACAGCCACCTTAATCAATAATAATAAATAATAATAAACTCCTCACCCCAGGTCTTTCAAACTGAATTCTGTGCAAATCCATGAAGCCAATTACCAGACAAACAACTTGACCACATATCCCAGGACTGCATAGCGAAGCTCAGACGTAGCATCCAAACATGTCCACTTAGTTGTGTCACAATTGCTTAAGCCAAGTTTGATTTAAGCAATTATGTGTGTACCGACACATCTGTAACAGTTCACACGAGAGATGTGAGATGTTCTGCAGCATGTCAGGCTCTCTTTCATGTCTCGCTTTCTATGGAACATGACATCAAGACACCCACTGGCCCCAGAGAAACCGCTCATAGAGACACAACCACACATGACATTTAAGATCGATCTTTTCCAGATTGATCTCAATTCGTTCTCATGTCTCTGTCCAGGAGAGCGGTTAAACTGCTACATGCTGAATGTTAAGCGTCCAGATGTGGTGTAATGGACCAATCTGCACAATGACTACTTCTACTTTTGGTACTTCAACGATATTTTGAGGATAATACTTTCGTTATTTTACTTGAGTAACATTTTGAATGCAGGACTTTTACTTGTAACAGAGTATTCCTACACTTCTACTTTTACTCAAGTACACCATCTGAGTACTTCCCTGACCTCTGGATGATAGTGAGGTCTATCTCCACCGTGTGCCAGGGCATCTGTTAGATCTGAGGTCAGTGGGAAATGCAGCAGGGAGCCCATAAAGTTAGTCCAGACCCCGATCACCATCTGTCAGTTTGACTTGTAAAAGGTTTCAGGACCAACTGAGCTCTGTGGATGACCTCACAGTCAATCAGCAGCAACAACAGTGATAAATGAGTTTGTCACGCATGCTTTATCCCTCCCTGTCTTTGCCCCTGTGTCTCTTTCAGTCTCACACACACACACACACACACACACACACACTCACACTCACACTCACACTCACACTCACACTCACACTCACACACTCACACTCACACAGGAACAGTTGCCGGTGCTTCCAACTTGTCTTGGATGCTCCAGCATGTCTTTAAACCACAGGGGACACANAGACCCTATCCCTCTGAAGTCTTTCAAGTAGGGGAGGAGAAATGCCAGCGTTCTCTTCCGGTTTACAGGCACTGTGTAAATTATAGAATAATTATGATGATGAATGCATTTTTTTACCACTAAAATACATCATCATAATTATTCTATAATTTACACAGTGCCTGTAAACCGGAAGAGAACGCTGGCATTTCTCCTCCCCTACTTGAAAGACTTCAGAGGGATAGGGTCTGCAAAATTAGTTTATTTTGGGGATGGGCCGGATGCTCTGACCAGTCCACTTCCTGCCCGGCGCTATGCAACGCCTCGCGTCGCGTCAAAAATAGACCAGCCGCCTATTTTGAGTGGAGCCCAGCGCCGAGACGCTTCTGGGACGCTTCTGGGACGCTTCTAGCCGTAACGCGGCGCGTCTGGTGGAATAGCACCCATTGACTAGAGTGGCCGCGATCACTGTGAATGCCGCGGCGCAGCCGTAATGCAGTGTCCACACGTTGAAGTATGCCGGTGGGCGTGTCTGAAACTCGACCAACAACCAATCACATGAATCTCCCGCCCCGGAAACACAAGCACGCGGTTTGATTGGCTAGAGCTTGTACTGCCATATGATTTGATTGGCTGACGCTTCCGTCGAAGCTTCAAAAGTTGAACATTGCTCACCCGCCTGCATCGCGTTACGGCTGCGTTACGGCTGCGCCGCGGCGTTCACAACGATCGCGGCCACTCTAGTCAATAGCCGCGTTCACACCGGAGTACTTTTCCCCGTATGTTCACACCAAAAAGAGTACTTAGTACTAACTTTTACCCCCATTTTTAGTGCCTGTTGAGATGTAGTACTATCCTGGGGGGAAAAAGTGCCCCAGTTCTGATTGGCTGGGCGAATTGGAAACCACGCCCCGTAAAACCCGGTAAGGTATTGTGAAGCCGCCATTGTATTTGCTGGCATTAGCATTATTAGCACTAGCCCCACGCACCAACGGAGAGAGACTAACTTATGGCAACACAAAAGAAAACATGGGAGCGGTGGAGATGAGGAGGTGTCGGCGTTCTGGCGATTTACTCTGAAGGCTTCAGTAGAAGCTGCTGGGAGTCCCAGCAGCTTCTACTGAAGCCAGTCCCCAACTCCGGGGACTTCCGGCCGGGTACTTCGGGCAGCAGTATACGCCTTGAAGTTGTTTGAGGCCTGCCAGTAAACCCAAAGAAGAAGAAGGGACGTCAGCGGCTTCATTTGCGTAATCTTCCCTCAGGGAACTTATTCCGATGTGAACGCGATCGGCTCTTAGTTCCATGGAGGTACTAAGTGCTGGGATCTAAGTGCTGGGAACTAAGTACGGCAAAGTACTTGCTGTGAAAGCGGCTATTAGCTATTCTTCCTGGGGTCCTCACACACACACAACACATACATAAACATACATAAAACAAAACAGCTCATAATCTCATGCAATTTACAGTGCTATATGAAATGAAAACTAAAATGGTCGTCCACATTTAGCCAACATAAGGCCAAACAAAAAAATACAAATACATAATAATACATACATACCCACAGGTACTTTCATTACTTATAAGGCTGTTTGTAGCTGGATGTGTAATACAGCATGAAGATTGATGCATGTAACAAGTTGGGCCTGGTTAATTCAAGCTTACGCTGTTAGCAACAATGCTAGTAGTGATTAGCAAGGGATAATGTGCAGCGAGCGTGTCATTAAAGATGAACTCAAGACCCCTCTTGACGCTTATAACATGACTACTTACGTAACTCAATAATTGGACATGATTTTGTTGAATTCAAAGCGACTGCATTGTTTCTATTGCGCTGTTTTCATGATTTTTTTTCCGTTTCCTTACATAGGAGAGTTTAGTCATTAACAATCCAAAGCTTTGTGATGTTTACAAATATAAAAATATTCAAAAAGTATTCCCTGGTGTTTTCAGACTACTTTCTACGGATTGATATGAGTGCACACGATCAAAGTTTCCTTAGCAACGTCTGCTATCCAATAAAGAGCAGACCACTGAATGTTCAACTTGACCAATCAGAATCTAGTAAGTATATAAATAGTAAATCTTAGTATTTAACTAAGTTGTGTAATAAGATTAGCATGACCAGCTGATTGGCATGCGAGTCAGCCCCACTATGGTGAGAATAAAAAACACTGGAGCTGGAAGAAGCTGATACAATGATACGATGATATGAGTGTTTGTTTACATTTTACTGCAAAATAATAAGCAAAAAACAGCAAAGATTTAGATTTAAGAAGCTTGAATCACGGACGCTTAAAGAAGAAATACTACTCTGATTAAATGACTTTCAAAATGTTGCAAATATCATGTCGTCTACATTAATATATATATGCTTTAAACAGAGTGACAGTGGTACCTTGCGCTTCGCGGATGCCTTGCAGCGCAGCGTGACCTTCTGCACCTTCGGGTGGCGAGGGCGGTGCAGGCGCTTGGGAGGAGAGAGGAGACCTGGCATGCTGCTGGTGGAGGAGGAGGCGGAGCTGGAGCTCTCCTCCCCCCCATCAGCAGCGGCCACCAGGACATGGTCCCTGGTAGATTCAGAGAGGATCCCTGGGGGAAGAAAAAAGTTACATAAATACCTTTCTGTGTTGAAGTTCTCAAGGGAGAGTCGGTACTCGAATAAACAATCATACATTTAGCAGAATAATGTATCCTGTTTACGACTGAATGTAGTAATACATCCCTAATAGGTGAGAGAGCTCCTGTCTGCCACCAGGCGATATATATGATAAGGATACATATAAGCAATAATAGATTTTAACTAGGGATGCTCCGGTCGCCAATTTTGAGGCCGATCGCCGGAGTCAGTATCGGCCGATACCGATCGCCGATCCGATCGAGTGGGCGGGGCCTATGGGGACCATTTAAAGTGATGTTTAAAACTCAGTTAATGGGGCTCATTCACTGGAGCTTCCACAAACAACAACCAACATAATTATTACATTATTACATTCATTCATTCTCTCCCTCTCTCCCTCCCTCTCTCTCTCTCTCTCTCTCGACCCGACAGTGAAGAATATATAAATGTATAACTAGTTTAGGTTGTTCCAGAGGTAGATAAAATGGCTAAGTATGTTAGGTCTAACTCTTATTGTGTGTGTGTGTGTGTGTGTGTGTGTGTGTGTGTGTGTGTGTGTGTGTGTGTGTGTGTGTGTGTGTGTGTGTGTGTGTGTGCGTTTTGCTCACCGGTCCGTCACAGCGGGTGGAGCTGCAGGATTTCTGCACGTTGCATACCGCTATTTTATTGTTTTTTTCGGAAACCTTCAAATACTGCCAGACTGGTGAAGCCATTTTGGTTCATATTTTCATTTTTAAACTTGTAGCTTTCACCCCTAAATGACGCTGACTAAAGAGACATTTATCAGACTTAAAAAAAAGCCTGTATACTTCCTTTATTCCACACATGCAGCCCACTCCAAACCCTGTATGAGTGGGTGGAGTCTCCCTTTGAACGTTGTTATTATTTGCCCCTTTTGTTTGTTTGTTTGTTTGTTCACCATGTAAAGCGACCTTGGGTCCCTTGAAAGGCGCTATACAAATGTAATCTATTATTATTATGATTCTGAACGTACCCAGTGTGCAGCAGGAGGGCGAGGGGTCCGGGGGCTGCAGGGTGGTGCTGCTCTGCAGGGGTTGGTAGATGTAGACAGTGTTGGGAGGCAGGGAAGCTTTCAGTGTGGACAGACTACGAGCCACCAGCTCTCGACTCCGGATCAACTCAGAGCTGTCGATCTGAGGGAGGGAGGAGGAAGGTTGTTAGGAAGGAGAAGACATTTATCCTCTAAAGCAGGGGTGGGGAACCTCCGGCCTCCGGGCCGTATACGGCCCGTGAGACCATTTGGTACGGCCCTCGAGGTAATTTATAAACACACGCAAAAAAGAAAAAAATTCAAGAAATCTAGACCGCAAAATAATTAAACAAGCTTGTTTTTCCTGGCCAAAGTCAGGGTCCTTGAACACAACACGAGCCTAACGTGTCATCACGTGGTATATGTCTCGTCTCACAGGAGTGTAGTTCTAACCGAGAGCACCAGAACGCGGCTCCGGGCCGGGACTTCGCAAATTGCAATACCCATAAGGAGCTGTACACATGCCGCAGTTTTTGCGTGGCTGTGTCTTTAGTTGAAAGCCCAGTGGCGATCTGTTCATCTGTCATACTGATCATACAGTCAATAACTTTGTTGTTATTAGCATCTGGTTAGCTAGCTATGCTAACGAATATAAGAAGCTTTTTCTCCAACCAGTGAGGTAAAGGCACATCTTTATATGATCATTATAGTTATAGAAAAATAAGAGAATAAAGTANACACACACACACACACACACACACACACACACACACACACACACACACACACACACACACACACACACACACACACACACACACACACACACACACACCTTACCGAGGTATGGGATGCAGGGCACCATCTTCAGGGAGCGGATGTATTCCCTCATGCAGGTGTAGTTCTCCTCCTTGGATGTCAGATAGTTGAGCTTCTCAAATGTGCCCTTGTCTTTCCGACTGATCAACTGCAACAGAGATTGATTCATGGATTAAACCTTCTGATTCAGAGTCTTGGAGGGAACTATGGCAAACACACAA